GATTTGGAAGCCGTTAAACAAGAGATGGCAGCAGCTTAAACTCTTCCTTAAGTTGATCCGACAAGAAGTCCTAACATTCGAGAATCAGTGATGAGCGAAATGGATATAGCTACAGTGAAAAGCACAACGGGTCTAGAAGAGTTAATAAAGTACCTCGAGTTGCTATATAGAGAAGTCGGATTCGAATAGCAGGTTTCTTAGGTCGATATGATCACCCAAGGGAACGCATCCCAAATTGCGTTTTTCTCCGTGCTGCACATTTGGATGTGGAATTGGCAATATCCATAGACACAGGTGTCGATCGCCACGCAATGGTGTTTTCTGACATTTTTCAAAAAATTACTGTTCAAAATCGTTTAGTTTCCGAGATATTGCGTTTTTTTCATCAAAAAAAGTTAGAAGTTTTCAACCCTCTAGTCGGGCACTGTCAGAGAACAATCAGGGTTTGTAAACCAGGCATCTCAAAAATTCAGTCCAATTCCTTTTGGTATCCGAAATTTTCATGAGTTTTTCATGTTGTTCAGAAAGACTTAGAGTTAAAAAGAACTCACAGAACTTGGTATGCTCAACCCTATTATGGGGTGTTCTCAAGGCGTTTTAAATGGTTGTAAATCTAGCCTCTAGATAATACTGCTCGAATCCTTAAGGTTTGCGAGATATGGCGTTTCTGATGATTTTTTCCTTCGTTTTTTCAAAAAGTTAAGATTACAAAAATCTTGCGAACCTGAAATTCTCGATCCTATGGGGGATGCGCTGTCAAGGTACACTTAGGAGTACTGTCATGGTTTAAATCTGGAATAAATTATTGTCCAAAATCAGGTATAAAATGCTAATTTTTCTCTTAGTGTACGATACGAATATTAAAGATATCAATTGGTTTATATGAGATAGCAATAGTAGTCTCAGTGCCATTTGTTAAAAATTTTATCAATATAAACTTTTTTTACCGATGTCAGCACTTGACATAATTTTATAAAACTTCACTGGTTTAAGATAAAACAATTATTTTTCATCCAAAAATGCTTCCAGTTTAACTAAAGATAAGAATAAACTTAAGATTTCCAATTGATGCAAGTTTTTAAGCGTCCATATAGACTCATACATGATGTTTTTGACTCATGTAGCCTCTGTAAGAACCAATATGCGAAAGCAGTGCTGTAAATGTTAGAATTGAAATTAGGTCCCTAAGCAGATCTCTAAGCATGTCTCAAATGTTAACACATAATTGAATACGAGAGTGGAGTTCTGATGTATGGAGGTACGAGTTATAGCTCACTCTTACTTTTGTATTATGTTGCAAAAAAAACAACATGCAACATTTTTGTTTGACGAGCTTTGAAAGTTTTAGGATTGATTTGCAAAACACGAATATTTTGACCGTTCATAATTATTTAGTTACCAACTGCTGAAGTTTGTTTACTAGTAAATTTCGGCAGCGAAACTTCACAGCGAAACTTTTCTAAATCTTTTTTATACGATGAACCACATACAATAACCAAAACCATTTTCCATTTTTGAGGACAACCCAAACGCGTTTCTTGGAGCTATCATGGCGCACAGCTTTTTAACCTTTTTAAAGGGAACAATGTGTTCACTTAAAATGTACTTGCACTTTCGCATTCTGAAATTCAAACTACAGCTCATAAAAGACTTTCATTTTTTTAAATAACGAAGACCGAACCCGACTTATTTTTAAGTTAATCAAAGAGGGTTAAAAAAATTGTATTTTTAAATGGAAATGATTTTAGATAACCTCTGGTACCTCTATCAACTCATCAATGCTTAAAAGATTCGATAATTTTTGATATTATACGCTGATTTTTGAGATGAGGGACTCTACGTGAGTTCAGGTTGGTGATTATAATCTCAAAGAGTATCCATTAAGCGTTGAAATAAAAAAAGGTAACAGTAATGCAATAAACTAAAAATTTTTCTTAATTGAGCTCTCTGGAAGGGATTCTACCCGCAATTTAGTTTTTCTGACATCCATTTTTGATTTTTATATGTCTACCCTGGGCTAAAAGTAATAAAAAAACCTCTAGTTGTTTTTTCAAAAGTTTTGTAAAAGTTTTTGATCACATTGTAATTTTTTAAATTAAAATTTCATCTGCAAAGTGCAGCAAAGCATGTGATCCATATGGTTTCGTTAGCTGTTATCTCTGGTGCATTGTGTATAAATGTTGTTCAAACTTATCTGATGTTAATTTTTAGCAGAGAAATAAAATTACTCTTTTTAGTTCAGTTTAAAAGTTTGCTGTCGGCCTTCTTGGGGTCCTTTTTAAATTTAAAATTTCACATATTTGATCAAATTCAGTAGTTTTGGAGAAATGACCTTTTTGGTCAAAACTAACCTAAAATTTAATTTGTTGACTTGTTGCATTAGTGAAATAGAACCCCCTGATGGATGAGCCCAATTTAATTTTACGTTTCATGAAACATAGCTGTATCGAGAAGCTGTTCTTACGTTTAATGATCTATATGAAGCATCGGAGGTGTGAGTCATGCGTTAGTTAATTTTAAATGCTATGTTTTTGACCGATTTAGTTAGTTGTTCAAAGTCACCGATATTGGCAACAAGTTGGCATTAACTATACAAGGGGGGGGGGGTTACAAAGTTAAGTATAAAGACGAAGTTTGTCGAGGCCTAGTTAGTCTACATGACCGTTTTTGTAGCAAGTGGACAATGGGAACAAAAATACTTATAAATAATTGCAGGTGAGGGTAAAAAGAAAAAAGAGCCTTATTATTTAAGTGGAAAAAAGGTGGTCTTTCACTTTATAGCCCCCAGCCCCCCCCCCGCCATAATGATAAAATCAGTCTTTTATCATTATCAGGGGCTTTAGGTTTTTTAATAGGCAGGGGCATAATGGGAAAGACCCAAAAAGGGGCCCGGGTGGTTCCTGACTGTAAAACCTAGAACGCTGGCTGCCTCGGTACGTGTCGGTTAAGTTGCCTATGTGGCTGATGTAGGTAATGTTGATTTCCACTGTGGCTTTCAGTAGTAATTGTCGCATATTTTAGTGTTATCTTTGACACTTATAGTGGAAATTTGAATGAAGGTTGAAGATTTTAATTTAATTTCTGATGGATTTAATTACATTTCTGATGGATTGAATCCAGTAGGACTCAAGTTTGTTTTCACACTAGCCGTCACCTTTACAGCTTTTTGATAGCATGTACTTAGGCATTCGAATAGTAATAAGTTAACACAGTTGAGGCATTTTAAATTCATCAAATGAACCGAAAAAAGCCATGTCTCAAACAACATAACAATAATAAAACTCGATTTCAGAACTCACTATATGTCGCAATTTTTTGAAATGCATAATTTATACATAATATGGCTTTATGCTTTCCGATTTGTTACATGCAAAGTTAGTGTGGATGCCTTCAGCTTGTTATATTCCAAATTATTACTTGCAAAATTGTGTCTGTTTGAATTTGTGGTTGGGTAAGACAGTGCCGAAGTAAGAGAGTGCCGAAAACAAAAATTTGTTAAAGAGTGCCGAAAATGAAAGAAACTGACTTATTTGTCGTGAACTAATTGAGAAAAGAAAAGAAAGTTTTGTTTGCTCATCGATTTTGGCGCCAAAATTGAGTCTGAACAATTTGAAAAGAGTGCCGAAAATGAAAGAAACTGACTTATTTGTCGTGAACTAATTGAGAAAAGAAAAGAAAGTTTTGTTTGCTCATCGATTTTGGCGCCAAAATTGAGTCTGAACAAGTTTCAAGTGTCATTATTAATTTTCCGGCCAAAAGCTAGCCTCTTAAATTGCGTTTCAATATTTCCCGCCTTTTTCGGCACTCTCTAACTTCGGCACTGTCTAACGCCCCCGAATTTGTTGCCACTTTTTGCCGAATCGCATTGACAATTCATTAGCATTAGCTGCTTTTATTGTGACTAGGGTGAATTCCCATAGGTTCCAATACTCATACGTTCCAAAATAAAAAATCTGTCGCATAAGTTCCAAAATTTATCTTCTTGAATTCTGATTGGTTGAAATTTGAGCCAACGAATTAATGGATTGATTGTTTACTGTTCCACCAGCATAAACTCAAGCTGCAGAATAGTGACCACCGCAGCCGCGCCAACGTGTTGCGAGCTTGCCACCAAAGGGTAGGACTCTATACGAAATTTAGAGCCGGTTATCGGCGCGAAGCGGTGACGCGCGAGTAGCGAGCCCACCGGCAACCTTAAACCGAGACTCGGCTAATTTAGTCTTTTGACCAATTGAAAAGATTTGGAACTTATGCGACTGCTTTTTTATTTTAGAACCTATGGGACTGATTTTTTATTTGGGAACCTATGAATACGCACCGTGACTAGCTGCTTTTTTTGGGAGTAATTTTTGACGCGATTAAGCGTGCGTGGCTGAGTGGTTAGCGCGTGAGACTGTGGGTATTCACAAGTACCAAAGTGATAAATCAGTCCCATTTGTACCAAAATAAAAAATCAATTGCGTTAGTACCAAAAATATTCCATTGGCCAAAGACTACTAAGACGACTATTTTAAGCTCTTGGCTTAAGGTCACCGGTACGCGCGCGTCGCCGCTTCGCGGCGATAACCGGCTCTAATTTTCGTACCGTCTGTTGGCAAGCTCGCAACACGTTGGCGATCACTATTTTGCTGCTTAGGTTTCTTCTGTTGGCTCACAATTCGACCCATCAGAAAATGAATTGAATAATTTTGGTACAAATGGGACCGATTTTGGTACAAATGAGCGTTGGTACAAATGGGACTTCACCCGTGAGACTCGGAATCTCTATATTGCAGTAGGACTAAGACCCAATCCTTTTCCTGGCCGACTTTTTGCTAATTCGAGGCTTTTTCTGTTTTTTCTTATTGCACTTTCTAGAGCTGCTTTTTGTCGTGTTCTCGTTAGTGTTTGCGAAGAGAAGCTTTATCTCTGTGTAAATATTGTTATCCGATTAGTGCTGTTTTTTAAAAAAACGTGTCCTATCCCGTCCTTGCTTATTTTTAATTTTCAGACTTATTTAGGCGCTTTGCGATGGGCTGGGGAAAGATCGTCAGTGGAGACTCAAACAGTCTTTGATAAAATACCGAAAGAGCGAAGAGAGCAAGTGTTCAAAATTGATTTTAGCAAGTTAATCACACGCGAGGATTTGAAGCACCTTTCAGACGTGGAGTCCGACGAAAACGACGAGAGCGAGCTGTCAGAATCTCCTGAAATATTTAATCCAGTTTGGGAATTTTTAACCAAAAAGAAACCAGCCTGCAACACGATAAATTTGGAAAAATTACCGACGAAGAACGATATTTATTCGTCAGATGAAAAAATTGCCATTAATGACGACTTCGAGTCATTTCAGGTCTTATCGACGAAACATTTAGACGAATTGGACAAACTTTCAAAGGGAATGCAATCTTCTGAGAAAAAGAGGCCTTTCACACTTAATTTGACCAAAGCCTCCAACATGATCAACCAGCATCTTAATGGATCAACATCTGCCACATCCAACATTAGTTTCAACAGTATGTAGGTTTATCTAGCTTAGTTTTTTTTCGGAACTTGATGCGGAAGGAAAAGTACAAGTGGTCGTCAATATTATGTTTTCAATGAGGAAGTGCGGTTTAAATTCACTCGTGATAACCTTGAAAGTAGGAAAGTTGCTCGCCTAAGTCTCGCAAATTTGGTAGCTCCAAGTAACTCCGTATCTGCATTTCAGGCAATTGCTTTCCGCATCAGATGTCAAGAGCGCCATCAAATCAAGAAATGGAGCAAGGCTTTATACCCAAAAAACAATCCGAGGAAACGCTTTCTGCAAAGTTCAAAAAAATCGATCTGTGCGAGAAATCAAGCATAGTTAATCCAAGTAACATTTCATCTGAAACGGAAAAACAATCAAAGTCGACAAATATATCTGAGTTATTTCGACAACCATTCAAATTTGAAATTGAGAAAAGCAGCGCGCAGTCAAAATATCTCACTGAAACATCTGTGGCATCCCAAGACAATCCAGTGCAAGAAAGAGTCCCCGAACGAACAACAAGTGAGAATACCAACAAATCAGTCGACCATAAGAGCGAACAATTGATGAAAGCAAAGGAAAGATTGCAGCTGATAACCAAACAGAACGAAACGTTGGTACAACAACTTGGTAAGGAGTTAAATAGTTCTAACTTCTCAATGATGTACGAATCAGAGCCTTCTACTTGTTTCCCAATCATCTTTACAGTAAAATTCTTCATCTGGAGATCAAAAATATTCAAAAGATCTTGTTAAGAGTAATGAACCTTGGAATGTTCTTATATAGGTCTTGGTGTTTTTTTTTTCGTTTTTTAGGAAAAAGTTTTAAAATGCCCTAATAACTACAGATGTGCATTCATACATATTAATGCATTTATGAATGCACTTAGGTATATATGCACTTTTTGAGTTCAATCGAAATTCATCTGCTGAAATTTACGTAAATAACATTCACCAAATATGAAATTTGAAATAGCGTGAGAAAGCTTGAACGATTTCTAGTTTCGAAAGTGGAATTTAGTTTTCAGATTTCCTGCGGAATAAAAATTTTACCTTATGATACAGTTTTTATCAAGTTGGGTTAATGTTATGAGAAAAGTGCCAATCATAAACTTTTCTAGAAGGTCAAAGGCTTATAGGGCATCTATTTTTTTCTTTGAAGTTCGAAAGATTTTTTCAACTAAGTCAGAGTTTTTTTCAGTTTACTTGCGTTCATTACTCTTTTCCAACTGTCCGTTGGCTACGTTAACAGGTTGCATAAAGCAGTAGCGGATATAGGCCGTGCTGATGGGAGGAAATGTACCCTCCTCGGGTATTCGACCCCTTGACCACCCTTTGGTTATATTTTTGGACCTCCATTTTTGACTGACTGACTGACCCTAAAAATTTTCAACGCAATTTTTAGTCGAAATCTTCCAGAAAACGTCGTTTTTGGCGTTTTTTCTTCAAAAAAAGCGCCTGCAGCTCAGAAAATTTGGGCGAAATAGGGTCTCAATGATAATTTGGTAGAGCTCAGAAAATCAATTTGGTCGGCCTAATAAAGTTGACCAATTGTTGGAATTTTTTCTTGAAAGCCCGCTCTCCGAGAAAATCCACCCCCTGGTAAAAAGTGCGGTAAAGAACATAAAAATATCAATAACAAACCAAAAAATAAACGAAACAATTTTTGCAGGCAAACACAAGCCTATTTTTTATCGCGAACTTAAGAAATGAATTGTCTAAAAAACCAGCTTGTACATGCTGAAAGTTACTGAAATAGAACAGTTTTTAAGAGTAGATGAACGTAGGGAAGAGTTCTACTCTTAAAATGAACTCTAACCCCCCCCCCCCCCCCCCCCCTCTCCCCAGGGATTTGACCCCCTGCCCGACCCAAAGGGTCCCACCTTTGGTACTTTTTAAGAAATCCATTTTTGGTTACGGACCCTAAAATTTTTCTAAAGGCGCCTTCGGCAGCAATATATACTAACTTTCAGGGGGAGCGCGCGCCAAAAAGTGCCCAAAAACATCTTTTCCAAAAAGTGCCCAAAAACGGTTTTTTTGACCTGATTTTATAATTTTCCTGCGGCGCAGAAAATTTGGCCAAAACAGCGTCTTTTTAGTGCTTAAGAAAAAAAAGGTCGACATTTTTTGAAGATCTGCCCTCAAGAGAAAATCCTAGATCCGCCCCTGCTATTGATATAGAGTCATGCGAGAGCAAGTATCTTGTAATCAGATACTTTACTTTTTTCCCCATCAACCAGTTTTCTTACAAATCTGAGTTGGTTTTTTTGCTTGCTTTATTATTGAACTTTAGCAACTTCCAGGCTCGTTCCTAGTTGTCCAAGAGGTAAGCTGGTCGCCTTTGCACCCTAAGGCGCAACGGTCTGGGGTTCTAATCCCGGACTGTCCTTGTTTTTTTCAGTATGTATGAAATTGAAATTTTTCGATAAAAATTGTTATGTCGGACTTCGTTTGTCTCGTCCAAGTTTGTCGGCTTAACTGTCATATTTCTATTTTTTTTGCTGTAAGCAATTCTCATTTTAGTTGAAAGTGTTGTTAATTTTAGTTTCAGGGGTTGATTTGAAACTTTTTTTTATAAAATCAATTTTTTATTCGGCTCAACTGATGTCTGCTAATTGTCGGCGTTGTTTCTGCTTCGTAAGTGTTGTTCCGTTGCTAATTTGATATTCAAATTTTTAGTTTTGCTCGAAAGTTGAAGCTTTTTCTAAAAAAAGAACACGATAATTTTTTCTGTTTCGTTGCGTTCTTTGACTCTTTTCCAACTTTCTGTTGACTGTTTCAATTAATTTTGTGTGTGCGATTTTTTTGCCCTTGATTGACCAGATTAATAAATCAAATGATTGTCATGAGTACTCTCATATAGGCCTTAATTTTATTCACGATCAACTTTGTCTTTTCGCTTGACTTTAAAGTGATTTAATTTTACCTCATTTCCTTGTTAAAAGGAAGGTGAACTCCGCTATCGAACAGTGAAAGTGTAAAGGTCGTGAAAAACGTAATCTACTTTTAATTTCGAAAATGGATTTAAGTTATCAGATTTCCACAGCAGAATGAAAAATATTACTCATTAATCCAGTTTTCTCACCCTGTGTTAATTTTTATCAAAAGAGCACTTTTTCATAAATTGTTCGCGAAATTCAAATTGTTAGGGGCATATATTTTTTCTTTCAAATTCCGAAGTTGAAATTATAAAAAATTAACTCAGTTGTTTTTTGTTTCCTTGCATTCATTGCTCTGTTCCAACTGTCAGTTGGCAATGTTTCGAATGTCATCCAATTTCAGAATCCAGCTAATTTTAATGCCAGTTACAGAGTGGATTAACTGTTAAAGAAGCCTAAAGATTTATCGCGTGACTTGGTAACCAGTTCTTGTTAACATTCATGCCTTATGCGGTTTAGCCGTTATTCGCCAACCATATGAAAGAAGCCCCCCTTTGAAAAGAGAAATGATATCAGGATGAAGAAGTAGAGATTTTACTATTTTAGTTAGCAGCAAACATTAATGCGTAAATTGAACAAGGTCTGAGATACTCTTTAATAGAACAATAGAGGCGGCCTATGGCAGAGATGTGACTGCGAAAGCTATAGCGACAGTATTAGCAACGATTGTTAGTGATTAGTGTTAGTTAGCGTTACAAATGGAGACAAGTGTTCTTGGAAAAAGTATGGTAAATTGCGAACATTTGCAAATGTAATGTGGAAATACTGATTGAGGTCTTGCCGTTTTCTTTGTTTTTTTCAGGAGAAAGTCAAAAGTAGTAGTTTTGAACGTAGAATCTCATTATTAGATTTCTTTGTGGAATAATTTTTTTTCTTTTCATAGTCTTCTCAAATGTGGTCATTTTAAAAAAGAACTCACCAAAATTTCTTGATAAATATAAAAGATTCTTGAAATTGAAAGAGCTTTTGCGTCATGTATCGACAATTGAAAAAATATAATTTCAAAAAGTTTTTTTCTTTTTCTGAGTTCATCGATGTTTTTAGAACTGTCTGTTGGCTAAGTTTAAAAAATTAAATGTCGATTGCGTTTAGCCAAAATATTTCGCGGTAACTCAACGAAGTTAGGATAAGCGGTTTAGCGGTTCATTCATTAGCGATCGCACCTCTGGTTTGTTGAAAAAGCTGGTGAAACTGTCGAATATTATTTCTTTGACCATCGACCAACGCCGCATCCAGCGCAGTGTGTGGACACAATTTCCAGTGATGTCTTGAGTTAATTTGTTTGTCATAGCCAGTCAACAGAGGCTTTTGGGGGTGTTGTCAACCGGTCTCGTGACCCAAAATCAGCCAAGGCATCCAATATTCCAGCAGCATCAGATGACCTTGCCGCCTCCGCAGCAGTTCTATGGCCTTCAACAGCCTCATTTTGCTACTCCACAATTTCCTCAGCACGGCAATTTCAGGCAGTTAGTCTTTCAATATACATCAACAAATTATACTCAATCTCATGAAATCTCGTACTTAATGTTTTTATGAACTGGATATTATTACTTTAAAAGGTACGATAGTTGGCAAGACAATAAGTTTGATAGTTGGGTCCCTTAAATCTAGATGGGTCCCTGAAGAAGAAAGTTTAGACCTTAAAATGACCGAAAACATGGTTTGCATTTGTTTACTTGTGTTTTTGAAGTGTTCATAAAAATTCTGGGACCCAACTATCATACTTTTAGCTTACGTTTCATTAAGTGTTTCTTTTTTTTTGCATTTTATAGTTCTGGTTATTATGCCAAGATAACGATATTAGTCCTTCTGATAAAGTTGCGTTTTAAATATTTTTTTAAAAAAGTTGACCTTTATCTATAAATGGATTGACGTTTAAGTAAGGTATAGGCGTGACTCATTAGTAGCGCTTGAGTTATAGTCCTTATGAGGAGGTTGACATGCTTCAGGTATCCGAATGCATCGGCCATGCAGAACTTGCAACATCATTCATCCAACCAAACAATTCCAATGCTAACTGACATAAATACCCAACCAAGTCATAATTCGTTGCCACCACCTCAGATTATGGCAATGATGGCTGCAGCTCATGCTTCTGGACATCGGCTCCAGCGTTCATCAAACACGCCGCCAATGATGACCGGATATAACCCAAACCCCGCCTTCAATATGCAGCAATATCCGCATAATCCGTATTTTCAGCCATAGTGAAACTGTTTTGGTTATGAAAACTGCAAGTAAACTGAATTATTTTCGAGGTTTGCATTACCCGGAAGTCTTGTTTCTGTGAAATAATTTCTCAGCTGCTGATTTATGGATGTGTACTTGGTTTCGATTGTTTAATGAATTTTGTGTTTCAATGACCACGAATTGAAACTACTCTCTATAATGTGTCGTGTGCTAAGACACGAAAAATCGTATACATTCACACGATTTTGTAGCCATTCATATGATTTCGTGTAAATTTGCACGATTTGTGTCGTATGGTTTACACAATAAAGCGTGTGCTTTTCACACAAAACCGGAAATTTTTCGTGTAACTAATACACGAAAAACTGATATTTTTCGTGTGAAAATTACGCGATTTATCGTGTAAAATGATTCTTTTTTTCGTACGATTACTCATGTAATTTTTACACGATAATTTTCAAGTTTTCGTGTAAAAAGTACTTGATTTATCGTAAAAAACAAACGACACAAATCATGCAAATATACACGAAAAATCATGTGAATTGTTGCAAAATTGTGTGTCCTTTTTGCACCGATAAATCGTGTGAATGTACACGATTTTTCGCGTCGGCACATGATTTTAAATGGTTGAGCACACATAATTTGAAAAGGGAAAAAATATAAGAAGCGTTAAGATGTAGCATTAAAATCACTGTTAATACAAAACAAAACAGACAAAATTTTCGGTGTTTCGTGAAAGCCCTCGATTGGCAAAACATGGCCGAAGGAAGCCAGTGAGGCGACTTATAGAGCACGCGAAGCCAAAAAAGAGCCCTCGTAGCACATAAACAAGCACCAACATGATTCTTCGGATTATCTTCAGCTAAAAGAACAGAACAAAACAAGCTTTGATTTTCCAGCTTCAGATTAACCATGACCGTGATAAAAAATAAATGAATTCCTAAAATTGAAATAATTGAAAAAGCATGCCTGAACGAAGCCAGTTATATGACTCATCAAGCAACCAGCACGACCGGAGAAAGCCATCACAGCATAAAGACTTTTTAAAATGAACTAGAATAAATCTTATCAATATTAAGAATTCAATTCGCCGTGTATGTCATAAAAAAACAGACAAGATTCAATGTTTTAAGGCATTTGAGCAGCAAGCCGTCCAATAGAAGCTGGTTAGACGAATCATCGAATAAGCAGCCCGCCATGGGTGTCTCTATCGTACAAAATGAGCATAATTTGTTCTGGGGAAAATAAATTATTAAAAAACGAATGCCAAGATAACAATTCTTTTAGTGACAATTACAGACTAATATGGGCAAAAAAACTGTCAGCATCATAACTCCAGTTTTATGTTTCCTATTCAAATTCGACTGGCAATAACGGACGCAAAGATAGCGTTTGTTTGTTGACCCTAAGTTGGTTACTGACCAAATTGGCTATAAACTCGTAATTGATTTTTGTTTTAGTGAACGGTGATTTGCCGAAAAATTTAGTTTCCTTCGGTGTTTCTTATGGAGCCTCTTTTCACTTCCTTCGATCAAAAACCAGTTTTCCAGATACTTACATGATTTCACAAAGGTAAATACAACATATTTGTACTTAATTTTATACTGCCTAACATTTACTGCCTTGTCTCGATTAATTTAGACGCAACTTGCAAAATTATAGGTAAGTTTATTGCGTAGAACGGTGTGCAAACTTATACGTTTTGTGTGAAAACATTTATGAGTAGATTAACATTGATAATCAAACAATTCGGAATACTTTACTATTTTGAGTTCAGAACCAAATTGCACAAGATAAGATTGTGATAGGCAATCATACTCAGACGCAATAAGCTTACTACCAGCGAAATGGAGTTCATTATTATACTTGAAAATGCTAACTAATTTCAGAAAAACAGGTCCATTGATATCGATGCCGTATTGCGCAATGACAACACAACCCTAAACTAAGTTGAATTTTTTTTTTAGCCCTATTGCATAAAAATACATCACAATTCTTCCCGAACAAAAATTTTGCTCCAATTGTTTTTCAGGACTGTGTTCCTTTCGGAGCGGCTATTGCAAACCTCATGCCCATGAAAAGTTCATAAGGTCAAAATCACCTCAGCGCCAATTTGTTCCTGGTTCGATCCCTATCTTAGTAGATTCGAAGAATAAGGGTGAATTGAACCCAACGAGATGGCTGCAATGAGCTCCAGGTGTCCTTATAAACGGGAAGAAACTGTATAGAAAGAACAGTATCAATGATGAACCCACAAAAACACGTTTTTTGCGGAACAAAGCCCAACATCAAAAATGAAGCTTTTCAAAACATCATGAACAAATTTGCGTTCCATTACCAAACAAAACAAGCATCGCTATGTCTTTCAAAATTGCGAAAAATCAAGGAATGTTTTATTGCCACGACTGAAAACTTGATGATTTTGGTTATATCAATAAATGGGCACCATGAACAAAGGAAGCAGCGCGTTTTAATTTGAGTGCAAAATTGGGCGTTTGAGACCTATTGAGCTGGGACAGATGAGTTTCAATCTTGCATGTGAAGCGATTAATTGAAGGAGCTTTTGCACAATTTAGTCCTCAAGCCTTTGCCCTGTTTTTTTTTGAAGCAACAACGAAAGAGTAATGATGATGAGTATATTAAAGTCATAAAAAATAAAGTGAGTGATAGGTTTAAATAAGTAAGGTTTGAAAAGTTTGACTTCTAATCTCGCTGGAAAACGTTTCTAAGTCTTCAAAATGGCACTAAATATCATTTTAGATTCAACTTTCAAATATCAATTTGATAGAAACCCATGACTACGAATCAAGTAGTTTTTTTGCAACATTAAATTTTGCGGCACACGGTTATTTTTTATCGTGTGAAAGCATTCGATATACTGAAAAGTTATGTGTTTTACACAATTTTTGCATCACGCGATAACTTGTCGGATAAGTTTACCCAATCATTTTTTACAGTGTACGGCTTTCATTGCGTTCTAACTCCATTTTGGCTGAAAATTGATAAGATAAGTGTAATCTGGTAAATAAAATGCTTCAAATGAACACACGCAACAATGACTGACACAAATGTTTTAGATGATTTTACTCTTGTTTGCTATGGGATAGATTCTAGTATACTCTTATCTGAAATAATCTTGATATAAAACATGATAAATTACCTTTGTTTTTTGTTGCTATCTATTTTTCATCAAAATCTTTTCAAATGCTAATGAACATTGTCGAGACACTTATAGAGCTCTTTTCCTTTACAGGTCTTGGTTTAAACATCTTTTTTCTTGTTTTAGTAAGCCTCAAAAATTGTTCATAATCATTTCCTAGTCGACACTCAAATTTTTTCATGCCCAAATTTATTTTTTTTTGCGGTTTGACTTTTGATTTTTTTTAAAATTAAGTCAATTTCCTTTGTTTACATGAAGACAAAATCCAATATCAAATGGGAAAATTGTAAAGGTAACGAAAAACGTGATTGTCTTCTAGATTTGAAAATGGATTTTAACTTTCAAACTTTCCAGCGGACGAAAAAATTAGCCATTGATCAAATTTTCTCAAATTGGGTTAAGTTTAACAAAAAAGTGTCAATCAAGTTGTTATGGAAATTCAAGGAGCTTTAAGCCCATTTTTTGAAATTCGAAAATTCAGTTTCTCCAAAAACAGGTCAGTATTTATGTTCTGAGTCCTTGCATTTAACTGTAAACAGATGAGAAATTACAGAAATTAAAAATACATATAAATATCTCAAGAAATGTTTTTTTTTTCATTTCTTATTATTTGCAAGTGTAGTGATATAGAGTCCGTTCACATTTGTCTCAACGTATAAGCGCGCTTGAGTTGAGCACTTCTAACTAATCCAAGTTCCAAAGCGCTCAAATAATTTTTGCAAATTGAACTTCGTTTCCTACACAAGGTATGGCTCTTAATCCAAGGAGTAGGTGACTCGATTTCAGTATTTAAGGAAGTTTTTTTTACCAACGCTGATTTTCTATCGAAGCGTGTTTTGAAAATTATTGATTTCTATTATACACTGTTGCGAAATGCAGCTTCATCGAAAATTCAGAGCATTAATTCGCGTTTTTTATGGAGGTGTATGGGTACTCGGCGATTTTTTCCGTTTGAAATTTCCAAACAAATTACAATCGTCACGAAAGAAAGAAATAATTGTTTTGGTTTTTTGCTGTTGTTTCATGATCGATCATATATTTTTTCTAACCCTGAGAAAAAGCAGTTCGAGTATTTTGAAGTACTTTTGCATAAGTTATTGATTTTTGAGCTCATTAATGTTAGATTTTTCGATTTTCGATAAAACATTTTTTAAATTGGATAAATATGATAAGAACTCTGTGGTTTTGTTTTAATCTCAACATACTTTGACTGGCCGATGCGAACGAAGGGATTTGAAAAAAAAGTTGAGTCAGTTCAGAAAGATCTGAGTCTCGAAGTATATTTACACAAGCAAAGATTGTGTTATAGTATGAACTCTCTTTTTTTTCCAACCTAAGTCGCAAGTTTTGTTGCGACGCAAATGTTGTTGCGACAAAAAGTGTTCATTTTGAAAGTGTTCATTTTGATCAATAACCAACTATCAAGTGCAGCCAATGCTAATGATATTAATGCAGACTATTGTATTACAAATAGCACTTTAGCTTTAAGGTATTATGAATCTGTAGCGTAGAAGTAGGGAAGAATACCGCGGGGAAGAAGTAGGAAAGGAGGAATCATGGATATGTAGCGTGGAAGTAGGGAAGGAGACCGAGAAAATAAGAGTGCTCGAACTCGGGCAGGGTCGGAATTTTTTAATGATCTTTTTCGTATACTAGTTAAATGCGCCCGCTCTATAAATTGAAGCATGTTAGTTGGGATTTTTTTCAAGATGATTTGTACTGCTAATGCGTCATAATTGGCGTGCGTCACTTAAAAAATTTTGTAGACTCAAAGATTTACTCATTCAATTTTTCCCAGTAGCTTTATCAGTCCTATTTTTGCTTGTGTATGCAAAGTGTAACTTCGCCTCTGTGTCCAAAATTGCCTTTTTTCCCGCATTTATGTTTGTCGTAAATGCATTCTGCTGATAATGGATTCTTTTAACTGCTTCTCAGGAGCTAGTAAAAAGACTTTGACGCTTTTTTAAATAAATTGTTCTTTTTCATGCTCTTGGGGTCACGTTAAGAAATTTTGTGAAAAGAACATTGGCGGAGGGTGT